GGCCTGAGGAGGGAGGCGGAGAGCGGCGGGAGCGCCCTTGGTCTGCGCCGGGCGTGAGGAGAGGGGCGGCGGCAGTGACAGGGGAAGGTGATGCCCGTGTTTATTTTTACTCGGGCGCCTCATCCTTTCTGGCTGCCGGTGAGGAGGGGCGGCGGCCCCCGCGGTCGCTCCCTGGCCCGGCCCCAGTGGCCTTCGTCAGGCGGCCGCTACAGCAGCCCATAAAGGGCCGAGGATGCAGCTCTACAGCACCATCGTCACCCACTACCCGGCAGCGACAGCATCGGCGGCGAGCAGCGCCTCAGCCGGCAGCCCGGGCGTCGTCTTCAAGGTCTCTCCGTCTCCGGAGCCGGCGGGCCAAAGCCCAGTGGGAGTCGAGAGCGAGGCGGGCGGAGGAGGGACCTCGGCCACAGGAGGAGCAGCCACCGCCATGCCCGCCTTCTCTTGCCTGGAACTGTTGCCTCCGACAGGCCCCGTGCAGAGGAAACCGCCGCAATGCTACGGCGCCACCGCCGCCGCCCCGATGACCCGCCGGCGGCCCTTGGAGAGGGTCGTGCCTGTCCGCCTGGTGCAGCGCCCGGAGGCCGTGGTCATGGCGGGCGAGCTGGGCCCGGCTTCGGCGGCGGCGCCTCAAGCCCATTCTTGGCTGCTGGGGGAGAGCCACGGGGGCGACTTCATGGCCGGCCAGCCGCGCCCGGAGGAGCCCAGCAACCGCGGCCTCCGCTTCAGCGAGCACTGCCAGGCCCTGCAGGCGGCCACGGCCGGCCCCAGCAGCTACCCGGGCGTCTCCGCGGAGCCTCAGCCCGCTTGCCAAGCGCCGGCCGGCGGCGGCGAGGCTGAACTCGAGGCCGCCGAGGAAGACGGGCCGGTGCGCCCGGCGGAGCGCAGCGAGAAGCTGGCCCTGTACTTGGCGGAGGTGGAGAAGCAGGACAAGTACCTGCGGCACAAGGGCCGCTACCGCTTCCACATCATCCCCGACGGCAACTGCCTGTACCGGGCCGTCTGCAAGGCCATCAACGGCGACCAGCGGCTGCACGGCGAGCTCCGCGAGCAGACGGTACATTACATCGCCGACCACCTCGACCACTTCAGCCCCATCATCGAAGGCGACGTGGGCGAGTTCCTCATCAACGCCGCCCAGGACGGCGCCTGGGCCGGCTACCCGGAGCTCTTGGCCATGGGACAGATGCTGGACGTCAACATCCACCTGACCACGGGCGGCAGACCCGAAAGCCCCACTGTCTCCACCATGGTCCACTACCTGGGGCCCGAGGACCCGAACCGGCGCAGCATCTGGCTGAGCTGGCTCAGTAACGGGCACTATGACGCTGTGATGGACCGCCAGTGCCCCAATCCGGAGTACGAGGAATGGTGCAGGCAGACTCAGGTGCAGCGCAGGAGGGACGAGGAGCTGGCCAGATCCATGGCAGTCTCCTTGTCCAAGATGTACATCGAGCAGAATGCCTGCTCCTGAAATGGGACCCTGCCACTGTTGGTGGTCTGCTGCCCTGGTGCCTTAATCGTTCTCCACACAAGCTGCCCTGCCCTGGGCTGAGCACAGAACTCAAGGGGAACAATGACTGATATTTGTACTGTGCACTTGTATATACTGTCACCTCCTGGTTGATTGGTCACTCTGTTTGTTTTGTATATGTTTCTTTTTTTTTTCTAGTACCCCTTTCTCTTTTTCGGTAAGGGGCTTTCCTTTCTTTGCACAATACTTTCTTTTATCTTGTTACCTCTGTCTCTTATATTTTGCTTTGGCACCTGGCTTTTCAAGTCTGCTGCCAAAAAAATAAGTGAATAAGAGTTACTGGTTTTTGTGCTAATATGGCTTGTGGCCTAACAGCTGTTTTATACTGCAACTTGAAACCTATCATCTTAACACTATCAAACAAAAAAGTTAAAAAATGTGTGTTCTTTTGTCCCCCTTTATTTGAGTAAAACAAGTAACTTTCAGCCACTGTGTATTTGTTTTAATTGAAAATATGCAGTTAACTTTGAAATGGTTACTTCTAAGATGCATTGACCACTCTGCAGAGCGGGATTTCTTTAGACAGTTGGAGCACGACAAAGCTATTCCAGAGATGTTACAGACAGCAGTTGTGACTTCTTTGTGCAGTTGCTGTCTAGAGTAAGCTTGCTTTTCACTTCATCACCCAGTTGGTGCCATTTTTTCTCTTATAAGTATTGATTTACAAAACAAAGTCTGACTTGGAATGTTATGACATAATGAAATAGCTATTTAAGAAAAGACTTGATGTATGGTCTTGTTCTTTTTTAATACATGGACCATGCCTGCTTTCTAACAGTGTACCAGCAGGTTTGTCTTATCACACACTATTTGTTAGTTGTTTTCTAATCACTAATAATGGGCTTACTCTGGTATTATGTAAAAAATGTATTTATACTAAGGGTTTGTATGGTTTGCTGGGTCAAACATTCAAGGTTTCCAAGATAAAAACTACCCTCTTTAATTTCCAAGTAAATTGAAATTGCTAGATATATTTATTAAGTAATGGAGTTTGTACTTTTTTTATTTTGTGACCTTTTGAATTTATACTGTATTTGTATAATAGGAATATTCTTAGCTATTCTGAAATAAATGTATAGTTTTGCTTGAATTTTATTTGAGAGTTCAGTATTTGAACATAAAGAAACTTAAGCAGTTAACGTTGCGGTCCTAACCTGAAAAGATACACTGTGCAATGCTATGCAGAATTACTCCAGTATAAACCCATTAATGGCAATTAATTAATTTCAGTGGACTTAGAAACACATAGCTCTGCTTAGGATTGTACTGTAACAAGAGGGGTTCAAAACTGTTTTTTAAAATTGTGTTTGTTGACCAGGCTCTTGAGTGAGAAGAGACTCTTACCCCTCGTAATGAGGCTTGGTCTCTCACCATCTGGCTTGCTTCTGTGAAGAAGGTGGGAAGAAATAGGCAGGAGATGTCTCTGGCTTCAAACCTGACTGGTATACTTGAGGGACTTAGGGCTCTTGTTGGATCTTGTTGCTTCTCTCTTAGTTCATTCAGATGTACACTTTCTCCTTTACTCTTAAAAATGCTACTGTTAGATCCAAGGTGCTGTGCATTTGGGAACCCTGGCTCCAATGTAGCTCCAACCAGAATATTGTAACATAAGAGAAGATTATTTCCTCTGGATTTTTGTTCTTTTCTATAACAGTATTGCTAAATGCTGTGTGGGGCTCTGTTCACACCAACTGAAGGTCATATTTTAGAAAAAAATATTTTGTTCTCATTTCTCATTGGTTTCTCTGTTTTTGTGCTGCTGTCTTTGTGATCTCAGCACTTCTGTAGGAGGTGCTCACTTTCCTAGTACAAAAAAAGAGAAGTAAATTTCAGAGTATTGCTTGAAGGTTAATTGGTTGACCAGTGTCGCTTAAGATGACACAGTAGTTTCTGAACTTTAATACTAGGCAGCCTTTAAGAACAGCACAGGAGAAATCAAAGGCATTCCATTATTTGTTTACAGAACCATTGGGAACTGATACTCCATTGCTACATCTCAACACAGAATTTCCACTTAAAATGTTTGTGATTTATGTTCAATTAACTTGTCTCCCTTTTCAAAATTAAGTTAGGTGGTATTTGTGGTAATCTGTAACCACCTGCATGAACAAGCACTTCTCCACTGGATATTTTTGACTTTCTTAAAATGTCCTGATGCTTTAAGAAGAAATTGCTTCTTTTGCTGGTAAGTTAAGGAACTGTTCTCCAAGGAAATTGAAATGTATTTGTCGCACACAACAGTTAGCGGTTGGTACATTTCAAGTATTCAGAGCAGAACTGTGATTTATGTATTTATTTTTAACAAGCCATCTTCAGAGGATATTCCCTCCTCAGTAAGATGGGGGAAATATCAGTCCTCGGACTTTTGGCTAAGATCAAGTGTAGTAGAGGGAAATGATTATTCCAAAAGGGTGCCTTCTGCAGGCTTTATAAAATAAAGGGCATGTATTTTTCTTAACAACTTTTTATTCCTGTGCAAACTTGTGCAGAATATTTATACAAGTATTCAGCTAAGATTTGTTTTGATTATATGATAGCTATCAGTCAAAATGATTTGCATACACTCTTGGTATAAGAGCTAAAAAAATGACTGTACCAGTTACAGAAATATCATCCTAAAATATTACCTCTTTGGTGGTTTGAGACTGAAATCGCATGTGCATTGTAAACCACAGGAAGGACTGGAGGGCTGTTGGTGGATTCAGAAATTAAATATAGGCATATTTAAACCTGATTTTCTGTTTTGCTTGTACCCACAAATTATAGCCAAACTGTATTTTTGCACTGGTGTAATCTGCAGTTCATGGCTTTGAATAATTGCTATCATGTCAAAGAAATCACAGAAAAACTAGCATTTTCCCATATTGTTAAATTTCAGTTTTTTCTTTACAATGGCTCACACATAGGAACACCTGACTGCCAGGGCTAGCCCTTCCACTAAACAGAATGAGGTGATTATTCCAGAGTGGTAGCTGTGGCACACGGAACGCTGTTACCTTCCCACTGAAGCGGTACCTATTTATCTACTTGCAGTTTCTTGCTTTTGAACTGCTAGGTTGGCAGGAGCTGGGGCCAGAGACGGGAGCTCACTCCGTCACGTGGCACTAGGGTCTCAAACTGATGACCTACCGATCTTCTGATCTGCAACTCAGCATCTTAACCTCTGAGCCACTGCAGCCCCTTGTTAATATTTGAGATGCTGCAAAACTTTATTCTGGAGTAAACTTTTAAGCTTGCTGCTTCTGGTAAATGAGTGGATCTTCACCAGGCAGACCTATTGGGTGATGAGAAGGTGGGGGGAGGGGGCAGAAGAGTCAAGGAGCTGTGAAAGATAAATCTAATCAAAGAAAATACAGAAACCATTCATTAGGCTTGCTTGTGCTGGCAGTTGTCTTTGGCAGAGTATGAGCAATATCAGAGGTGGACAAATCAGTTATTTTGTCATGACTTACTCAGAAATCCCAAGAGATCACCATAGTGTGTATAGATATGCAGCTTCAAATTTTATTTTTCCCTTGGGTAGAGGACTAGGTGGATTTACTGAGATGTTTTGGACCACTTCTGTTGCCTTGTGAGCCAGTTCGGTGTAGTGGTTAAGTGCACGGACTCTATAATCTGGGAGAACTGGGTTTGATTCCCCACTCCTCCACTTGCACCTGCTGGATGCCATAGTTCTGGCACAGCTGTTCTTGAAAAAGAGCAGTTTCTGTCAGAGCTCTCTCAGCCCCACCTACCTCACAGGGTGTCTGTTGTGGGGAGGGGAAGGGAAAGGAGTTTGTAAGCCGCTCTGAGACTCCTTTGGAATCTTTGTCGTCGTCTTTCTTTCACCATTTCCAGCAGCAGCCAGAATGAAAGTGTCTAAAAGCTAACAAATGTATCATACTTGATAAAAAACCAAAGGTACTTTATAATTCATGTAGTAACTGCAGCTAAAATCTTATTCGTAACTTATTGGAAACTTCCTTCAGCACCCACTGAACATGACTTAATAGCGAAGATTATGGAAAGTGTGGAAATGGACAAGCTGACTTTGATTTTAAAAGGGCAAATGGAAGAAGATTTTGTTGGACTATGGACTTCATTCTATAATTGGATAAGAGAAATATAAAGACATGAGTTTTCTAATATTATAATATGAACTTTTGAATCTCAGACTATATGCGTATAATATGAAAGGATTAGAGTAAAGTTACATGCAGAAATCAGTAGCTATGTTCTCCCCCCTTACCCTCTCCTTAGGTAAAGGTTTCCCTTGCTCGAAAGCCGGTTGCAGTGCTCATCTCCGTTTCCAAGCCAAAGAGCCAGCGCTATCCGAAGACGTTTTCCATGGCCAAGGCTAAATGCCAAGGCGCACGGAACACTGTTACCTTCCCTCCGAAGTGGTACCTATTTATCTACTTGCAATTTCTTGCTTTTTTTTGGTAAACAAATTTTATTTTCTCAGGAATACAACATATAAAACATTTCATTCTATCAATTGTCTACCCCATTCCCAGTTCCTCCCCTCCCTCCAATGGCTTCCCACAATGCTTCCACCCCTGCTCCAAATTACTTCATATCATCAACAATATCAGTTTTTCATCATTACAATCTAAAGATAACATCGTTTGACTTAATGTTGATCTAAACATATTAAGTTTTGTTTCACATCCCAGTTCTTTTCCAGATAAATTTTAAAATCATTCCATTCTCCAAAAAACTCATCGTCTTCTTTGTTATTCAGTTTTTTTGTAATCTTATCAATTTGTGCCATGAACAGAACTTTTTGTATCCATTCTTCAACCTCTGGTACCTTTTCTGTCTTCCAAAACTGAGCATAAATCATTCTCGCTGTCACTATCAGGTACCAGAGTAAAGTTTTTTTAGTCGTATTGACTTCTTCCATTTTGAGTCCCAAAAGCAGAATTTCCGGTGCTTTTTTAAAAGAACATTTCAGTATTTTTTGCATTTCATTGTGGACTTTTGTCCAAAAGTCTACAGCTTTCTCACAAGTCCACCACATATGATAAAATGAGCCCTCATGCCTCTTACATTTCCAGCATTTGTTTGACATATTTTGATTCATATTTGCAATCTTCTTAGGTGTCATGTACCACCTATACATCATCTTATAACAATTTTCTTTAACATTAGTACATGTCGAGATCTTAATAGAGTTTTTCCACAAATATTCCCAAGTTTCCATATCTACTTCCTTATTCATATTAATAGCCCATTTTAACATTTGTTCTTTAACAGTTTCATCTTCAGTATACCATTTTAACAACACCTTATACATTTTAGAAATATTTTTTCCTCCTCCACTCTCCCATACCTTTTCAATTTCATTTTTTTCCTCTCTAAAACCATAGTTTTTTTTGTCAGATCTAAAAAGATCATAAATCTGCATATATTTCAACCACTCATATTCATATTCAATTTCATTCTGCTTTTTCATTACCCACTCTGTTCCCTCTTTTTTAATTAAATCTCTATATGGCAACCAGTCTCTACCTCGCTGTCTTGAGTAAGATATCAACACTTCTACTGGTACAATCCACAATGGTCTTAAGTCACTCTGGTACTTCTTATATCTTGTCCATACCATATACAAAGCTTTTCTCACCAAGTGAAGTTTAAAAAAACTGTCCATTTTTATCTTGTCATACCATAAATATGCATGCCAGCCAAATCTACAATCATGCCCTTCCAACCCCAACAATCTGTCATTTTCAAGCTTCACCCATTGATCCATCCATGTTAGACAAACCGCTTCATAATATAGTCTAAGATTTGGCATTTGTAGACCTCCTCTTTCTTTGGCATCACAAAGTATTTTCATTTTGATCCTTGGTTTCTTGCCTGCCCAAACAAATTTTGACAACTCTTGTTGCCACTTGGCCAACAAATCCGTTTTATGCAGAATTGGTATTGTTTGGAACAGGAACATC